TAGCGAGTAAAAGATGTACTCGATCGCTCTCCAACCTCCCCTTTAATTTGAACAATGCCCTCCCAAGTCACACTCGTGTGTTTAAAAATAATAGCACTCAACCTAGATAGTCGACTCGGAATACATCAAGTCATCCTTTGCATTGATAAACATCTACTTTCACATCTACAAAATTCTATGCACAAAGGTCGGAAGGACTTTAAAACTTGTAATGTAAGGCTAGGGTAAAGGTAGGAAATATTTGGGAAAATGTGAGAGCAAAGCCATGCTTAAGGGAGCCATATCCTAATAAAACCCAAAGTCAATTTCAAGTAATGACCAAATCATCTCCAATCACAACTTAATTAACTCCACAAAAGTTCACCAAACAACCATATTAACATATCACATAATCACCATCACTTACAAATTCACTCAAAAAAATATGATATTAAATAATTAGAGTGAATAAACAAACTTTGAACTCATTCTTTTTTTTTTTCTTTCAAACTTGAACTTTTTGTTTTCTTTGATTTTTTTTCTTTTTCTTACATTGGAATTTTTAACTTTGAAACACAAATTATTAACATTTTTTTTCCAATCACAATATCAAAAGACAATCACTCTTCTTTTATTCCCACATTGTGCAAATTATGTGCACACCACAACTCCCTAACCTCACTAATTAATAGCCTCCCCAATCCAAGCTTGGGACTAGTAACCAATGGGCTCAAATAGGCTTGTAATGTGGCTAAATAAACAATAAAAGGGCACAAGCAACAACATGGGTAGAAAGAAGGGAACAAATTTATCTAAATCGTCCGAAGGCCACCTAAAAGAATAAACACCTTCGTCCTCCACATTGTGCATAATAGTGAATCATATAAACATTACTCGTGGTTACAAATCAACACTCAGATTCATTGATATACCAGGAACTAACACACATTCCTCACCAAATCAACTAATCAAGCACTATATTCACAAGTAGTTGGACAAAATTGACGCATGTTAAGGTTCCAAGGCAATCAAACATCAAATCAGGACAAACTAATCCTCAATATTTATCATCATATACCAAGAATAAAAACAATTTTAAAAATTTTTAATCAAGGAGCACAGGGAAGCATGATTCAAAATTCATTGGAACGTATTTTTGGATTTTTTTTTATTTTTCAATTTTTTTTTGTATTTTTCATTTTTTAAAGCAATAAATCTAACCAAAGAAAGCAATAAAATCTATACTATGAAAGCAATAAAAAAATAGAATAATAAAGCAATAGAACTAAACTAAGTAATCAAAGAAAATAAAAAGAAAAGGGAAAGAAAGAGTACCTATATATACACGAAATCCCCCCCAAGCAAAATCAGACAATGTCCTCATTTACTTAAAGGGAAGCTAGTAATCCAAGTGACTACCCCTCATCATCAAACTCGTATCTACCGCCATCCCAAACATTGCAATGCATCATCTTGGTACAATTTTGGACAAAAAAGAAACAAAGTGTTAGTAATAGAAGAGGCAAAAACGAGTCATGTTCACTATTTTGCTCATAAACTTTTTAATATTAATGATAATTCCTTGATTCTTATTGCAATTGAAATAAGACTTGAAGATCTTTCCAATGACATTTCACACGCAAAATTTCGTTAAGAAACGCAAAAGTTATAGCATTTTAAAGTTGGCCAGTTTTGCTGCCACGGTCTCGCGCCAGACCGGGCGAGCGTGGTACGACTCCAAGGTATGGTCAGGGGGTTTTTCACCACTTGAAGCACGAAATTCCTTCCTACACTTTATTTTCTTCGTTTTTTCCTTGATTGAGTAAATATCACTCGATCGCGTGGAAATTTCACTACGGGCTCATACTCTACAACTTGTTTCTCAATCTCCACTTGTTCATCTTTAAACCCGAGCCCTACACAATGTACAACTCTTTCTATAGCATCCACTTCATCTTATGTACAACTCTTTCTATAGCATCCACTTCATCTTTCCAAGTACTAGTTTTTCTTGCAGAAGATGCAACACAAGATATCGCCTTAAAGGGATCTCTAATGGGAGCTTGGGGCTTATTAGAAAAATTATTTACATCAACCACACCAATACTAAAACACTTTTCCTCTAACATGGGGCTTTTAGGGACATTATTTAGATTGAATGTAATATTATCATCCCCTACACATAATTTAAGTCTACCACTTTTCACATCTATTATTTCCCCTGTAGTATGAAGGAATTGTCTACCCAAAATAATCGGAATTCGCAAATCTTCCTCCATATCAAGAACAACAAAATCAACAAGTATATAAAATTTACCTACAGTAACAAGAACATCCTCTATAATACCTTAAGGGTATTTCACAGAACGATCGGCCATTTGCAGAGTGATATTGGTAGCTTTTAATTTACCCATATTTAATTTAGAGCTCACGGATAATGGCATAACACTTACACTAGCACCCAAATCACATAAAGATTTTTCGATTAACAGATTACCTATATGACATAGAATAGTAAAACTACCCGGATCTTTTAGTTTAGTTGGAGATTGATTATGTAATATAGCACTACATTCCGCAGTAAAAGCAACTGTCTCTACCTCACTAATAGATCTTTTTCTAGTCAAAATTTCTTTCATAAATTTAGAATATGCAGGAACTTGAGTAATTAAATATGTGAAAGGAACTGTTACCTGCAAATTCTTTACAACCTCCAGAAACTTACCAAATTGCTTATTGTAAGGAGGGTGAACCAATCGTAAGGGGTACTTTCCTTAAATGCCCTTGGCCACTTAAAAGCCTAGGACTTTAAACTTGTTATGGTGTAGTAGGATTTGAATTCCTGACTTTTTGGGGGACCTTGAATTAGAATTGATTCTATCATCACGCATTTTTGTAAGAAACAAGTAGGAGTCGCCAACGAGTATTAGGAAAAACTCATAAACCTTGTTCATGCCTTTCTTCCATGTGGAATTCATGGAATAATTAGTACAAATCATAAGTTTACCCATGCCCAAATAGGTATATAAACCAGAAATGAGTTCGGGAGCGAGGGTACTAAGATAACGTTCCTTTTAGAGGGGAATCGTCATCTTAGCCCTAGTACGGCCTCTACTAGCTCTTCCTTTTTTAAAATTTCATCACCAAACAATATATGAAACGCGATACCTAAAACTATGTTAGTTGATTTTATTTACAAACATTAATTAACGTAGGAATTACTTTGCAAAAGTCATTATTCTTATTTAATAATATTCGTTTAAAGAACAATAAATAAACAAGATTCGCTTGGCTTAAGTGATCAACCAACAATTATTTAATTCAATTCTAATCTTTATTTAAAGCAAGATATTATGTGGACACTGATACAAAATTGGCCAAAGAGACCAAAAGTTAGAGACCATTTAATTAAATAGGTAGTCTCTTAGTATCAAGAGACCAAATATCCTAAATATGTGGTCTCTTTGATATTTCGAGAGACCACTTATTTGAAATAATAGGTCTCTTGTAGTTTTTCAAAATTTTAATTTAAAACGTCAGAGACCATTTTTCTACATAAGTGTTCTCTTTTTTTAAAATACATATAATAATTTTTTTTTAAAAAAAAAACAAAGGAGAGACCGGTGAAAAGTCTAATATGGTCCTCTACTCTCTACATTATCAGCCAAGATGGTTAACACATTCCCAATTCAATTAATTTTTTTTTTTGGGTTGGAACCAATTAATTAATTTAATTTTCATTTTCCCCCAAAACAATTAAACCGCCAAAACAAATAATTTTGCAGCAGCAGCGGCGCACCATCGACCTTCGACTTCGATTCTTCCGCCATTGTTTCCGCCATTGTTTCCACCTTTTCCATTTTCATCTTCCTCCATTTTCATTTCCAAACCCATTATATGAAATTTATTACAATTTTTTGAAGTTTAGAACCCAATTTCAAACCTTTCTTATATTGCACAAACCCTTACCGCGACTCTTGCAATCGCTCTACCACTAGGGTCGCACGACTAGTCGGAAAACACCGCCTACAGTTGCCTACTGCGCTACTAGCACCACATAGGGTCGTACCGGTAGCAATTGATTGGTTATTTTGGGCATTGAATTCGCAATTTTAGTACTACTGCCCTAGCTATTCGCACAACTTTGCTAGCCTCCTCAAGACCACAATCGACTACTGACGCATTCTACCTCCGGCCAACCACTGCCAACAGGACCAGACGGAAAACCCTAACCAACCCTATTAGGGTCACCGCAACTAAGCTAGGTATCATATTTATTTTGTTTGTTTTATGTAGATATTATTTTGAATATGAATCGTGTAATCGTGTTTATTGATTGTTTGCTACGATGTTCTATTGTTATAGTAATCTTCCCATCTTGTTCATATATGAATCCTGTTTTTATTTATACAGTAATGATTTATTGGATTTTGATTTTCCCGCGAAAGTTTGGATTTTTTAAAAGTTGAATAAAATATTTGCTATAATGTATGCCCATTTTTTTCTTTTTATTTGCTATTGTGTAATTGTGTTTGGCTTTGAATATCATCATTTATCTGAACTTTGTTGTGATTGGAATTTTTTTTCTTTTTATTTTATACGGTCCGATGCCATGTCGTTAATAGCATACAATGCGATGATTATACATGCTATGATTAGACCAAGATTACACTTTAATTATTGTTTTGCATTTTGATAGAAATCTGTTGGTCTATTTTTAGTGATTAAACAGAGCCGTTTGTGCTATTAGATTTTTAATATTCGAAATTAGTAAGTTTAATTATGTTGCTAAGGGTGAAATTAAAATCAAAGTTGAAATTACCGTCTGATATTTGATGATTCTTGACTCTCTTTCTGAGGCTACATAGAGACTTTGTTTTTAACTTTGTCAATTGCATACCTTCCTCTGTTTTTTAATTGTGATGTGGTCTTTGTGTTATGAATATTCTAAGAATGACTCATGAAAGTAACATGTGTTAATAGATTTTGAGGAGTTTGTGTTTTGTTCTTCGTGCTTAGAAATGGATCGAAGTTGGATAACAACAACAAAGCCAGGTGACCCTGAATATCAACAAGGTGTTAAGGAATTTATTAAATTTGCATTTGAAAATAGCGGAGGTCGCTCCAAGCTAAGTTGTCCTTGTTTTATGTGTCATAATTTTTTGCATAAGAGACCGGATGAAATTCTCAATCATTTAAATAAATGGGCATTTGATAGAACATATACCCATTGGATTTGGCATGGGGAACGAAGAGACATGCATGCGGGTGATAGTGGTGAGACTAGGGATAATGTGCGTGTAGTTCATGATGTTGATGAGGGTGATCAGCTAGAGGACATGTTGCATGCGGTTGAGGATCAACTTGATGACAACCCTTCAATGCTTGAGAGCTTGTTAAGTGACTCTGAAAAGCCATTGTATGAAGGATGCACCAAGTACACGCGATTATCCGCTATTCTTAAGGTATATAACTTGAAGGCGGGTCATGGTTGGACTGACACTAGTTTTAATATGTTATTGGAGTTAGTGAAAGACATGCTTCCTAAAGATAATGTTCTTCCGGATAGTACATATGAGGCGAAAAAGTCACTAAGCCCAATGGGTTCACCTTATGAGAAAATCCATGCATGCCCTAATGATTGTGTATTGTATCGAAATCAATACGAATCATTAGAGAGTTGTCCAATTTGTGAAGCTTCACGGTACAAGAAAAGGGAAGGAGCAGTACCAGCGAAGGTTTTATGGTATTTTCATATAGTACCAAGGTTCAAACGATGGTTTTCAAAAGCAGAAGATGCAAAGAAGTTGACATGGCATTTCGATAGTCGAGTTGATGATGGAATGCTTAGACATCCAGCTGACTCTCCGCAGTGGAGATTTATTGATGGAAAATTCCCTGACTTTACCCAAGAAAAGCGTAAATTACGCCTTGCATTGTCTACGGATGGGTTCAATCCATTCGGTTCCTTGAGTAGCACATATAGCACATGGCCAGTTATGCTAGTGACCTACAACTTACCTCCTTCATTGTGCATGAAGAGAAGGTATATGTTCTTGTCGTTGTTAATTCAAGGTCCAAAGCAACCGGGCAATGACATCGATGTGAATTTGACTCCATTTATTGTTGATTTGATTATGCTTTGGGAAGAAGGTGTTGAAGTGTTTGATGCTTATCGCAATGAGAATTTTAATTTGAAAGCAATGCTATTTTGCACTATCCAAGATTTTCCGGCATATGGCAACCTTTCGGGGTACACTTTGAAGGGGAAAACAACTTGTCCCATCGGTATGGAAGATTGCAAGGGAACATGGTTAAATGCATCTAAAAAGCATGTCTATCCGGTTCATCGCCAGTTTTTTCCGCCTAATCATCCATATCGCAGGAGAAAGAATGTGTTCAATGGGCAGCAAGAGTTTAAAGGGCGATCAAAAGTCATCTTAGGTGAAGAGATATTCGATAAGGTGAAAAATATTGACATCACATTTGGCAAGAAACATAAATCAGCCCTTTCTACGCAGGGGTTCAAAAAGTGTTCGGTTCTTTGGCGGCTTCCTTATTGAAAACATCTTTTTGTGAGACATTCACTTGATGTTATGCATATTGAGAAGAATGTGTGTGATAGTTTGATTGGTACCTTATTGAATATCAATGGTAAGACTAAAGATGGCAAAAAAGCGAGGGATGACTTGAAGGATATGGGGATTAGAGGTGAACTCCATGCTGTTGATAATGATAAAGGTCGAACATACTTGCCTCCTGCTGCTTACACTTTGTCAAGAAAAGAGAAAATCGAATTTTGTGAAAGCTTGGCAGGAGTGAAAGTGCCCGAGGGTTATTCTTCTAATATTCACAACCTTGTGAATATGGAAACCTTGAAACTTTTAGGGCTAAAGTCACATGATTGCCTTGTTTTGATGCAACAATTATTACCTGTGGCGATTCGCTCAATTTTGCCTAAAGATGTTCGATTTGCAATTATCAGACTATGTGGATTTTTTCATGCGATTTATAGCAAAGTCATTGATCCTAAAGAGTTGACTACTTTAGAGAATTAAATTGTTTTAGTTTTGTGTCAATTAGAGATGTACTTCCCTCCATCATTTTTTGATGTTATGGTTCATTTACCAATCCACTTAGTTAGAGAGATAAGATATTGTGGTCCGGTTCACATGAGAAATCACTGGTATTTTGAGAGGCAAATGAAAACCTATAAGGGATATGTGACGAATGCTTTTCATCCGGAAGGTTGTATAGCTGAACGACTGTTTTATAAAGAAGTTCTTGCCCATACCGGTGACTTTTTTTTAATTCAAACCGGATAGGGCTTCCTGTATCTCGTCATAGTGGAAGAATGGATGGTGAGGGGACCATAGGTCGAAAACAGCGTGATTTGTCTTATGATGATTGGCATAAGGCGCATTCATACATTCTTCATAATGAGGATGAAGTTATTCCATATGTGGAGCAACACATGAGTTACTTGAGGAAGTGCAACAGAAAGGCAAATGAGAAATCATTAGCTGCCGAACATAGCAAATCATTCATTACTTGGTTCAAAGATCAAGTAATGACAGAGCTAATGGATTCTTCTACTTTAATTTCTGATCGATTGAAGAGTTTGGCATTCGGGCCTAATTTCAATGCCACTTACTATTCTGGATATGTCATAAATGGTTGCACATTTTACACAAGGTTCCAAGATAAACAAAGTACTATGCAGAATAGTGGTGTTACTTTAGAGGCCGAAGCCTTGCATTTTGCCAGTGCTAAAGACAAAAATCCTGTGAGTGGTTTGATGAGGTACTATGGGTTATTGAAGAGATTTGTGAGTTACATTACTCTACTTTTTCAATACCTGTTTTTCAATTCCAATGGGTTGATAATAACAATGGGGTCGAACATAGTGATTTTGGGCTTACATTGGTTGATCTCAACAAATTTGGTCATAAAGAAGATCCTTTCATCTTAGCAAGTCAAGCAAAACAAGTGTTTTATATGACTGACCCGACAAACAAGAAAATGTCAGCAGTTATAACCCCGAATCCTTGACATATTGATGATGATTATGGCGTTGATAGTGTGTTAGACAATTCTTATGTTACGCGAAAGGTACAAGGACATATAGAGGTTGATGTAGCCGATGATGTTTCAATATATGTAAGGGATGACCTCAATGAAGGCATGTGGGTTGAAAAAGAAAAAAAGGGAACCAAGCGAAAGCGCGCTAAAAAATCTTAATAGGTGTGTGAAAGTTCATTGCCTTAATTCTTTGTGGTTGTTACTTTATTTTTTCAACTTGAATTATAAATGTGTGCTTTTATCATTTTAATAATTTCATTGCTTATCTAAATTTTGACATATTAGTCATTATAGCATATTTTGTTTACTTTTTGGAGTTGAGTTTTTTTGTTATGAAATTAACTACTCATGTCACTCTAAATTTTGACCTTTTGTGTAGTAGCAGGATGGCTCGAAAGAAATCGCAAGTGCACGCAACGGACAATTCTGAATGCGAGGAAGAAAGAGGTCGTACTGTGCTCAGAATGGTTGGGAGAGCTATTCAGGTTGGCACAAAAATCCCTTTACAGTGGCATACAACTCGGAGAATCCCTATCGGTGTTCATAGAGGTTATTTCTCCACCTACATTGGTGTAGTTGTCTGTGAAAAAGTGAGCATCACCTACAGAAAGTGGTCAGACCTGCCAAAAGCACTTCTTGATGATTTGTATGACAATATTTCGGTATGTATAATGTTTTTATGTTTTAAAGGAAGAGAAATTGAATTATGTATCGATACTTTTAATTGTGACGAATATCTGAATTTCTTTTGGATATAGAGGGGGTTTCATATCCTTGAGGATCGCAAAGGTTGGATTATAAAACAAGCTTGCGTTCTATGGAGAGCTTTCAAGACTAGATTAAGGCTCAAGTGGTTTTACCTGAAAGATGGAACAATCAATGATTCTCCACCATTGAAATATCCTTTCATATCTAAAGATGATTGGGATAAATTCATTCAGGCTTGTAATTCTAGGGACTTCAAGGTGCAAGTTCATTACGTTGGCATTTATTTTATCTTTATTTTTTTGTGTACATTTAAAATTTGTGTGGATTAACTCTGATATCGTGAAAGTTCGAAGAAGAGGACCTCAAAATATCGAGGTGGGAGACTTGGCTATCAATATTTTGAAGAAACAATTGTAAGTATATGCTAAACATTTTATAACTACTATGTGGTATTAGTGGTGTTATTATTGTTGTAACCTTCTGTTTTTTACTTCAAATAAACTTAATACTAGCTGTTCTAACTAAATAATAATCCTGGTGTTCTGTTTTTACCTTTGCCTCACTGCTTAGCTTAATAGTGCTCATTCCTCACCATGCTCTTTCATGATAATTTAATAAAAGAATATATAGAGAACTCAATTGATAATTTTAGAAATTTTGAAATTCTTTGTGTTTCAGCTATATTTTCTATTTTATTTGCAATGGTAGGAAAAAGAGCTAGAGAAGCAAGGAGTACATGTTTCATACGTGCCTCGGCATTTGACTTGGATTAAAGCTCATTCTCATGTGAAGAATGGAGTTTTAACTTTTGATAATCCTGCAGATAAGGAAATCCATGATGCAATAGTAAGATATATTTGCATTTGTTTTAGGTGTTTTCAGTCACTAAGATTATTATTTAGGCACTGATATAATTTTTTTTGATAATTTCCAGATTAAGTTTGAGACGCGAGTTCAAAAAGGTGAAATACATGTTACATGTAGAGATGACATCTTAGCAAGAGCTTGGACAAGCCAGAACGGGGTGGTTTTGTTAGAGGTGTTGGATCTGGAGTAACTAACACAGAGTACTTTAGGTTCAACAAACCACCTGCACCTAGCGAAGTCAATGCTAAAATGAATGCGATGAACTCAAAGATGTCATCTATGATGAAGCAGTAGAATTTTATAGTGTCATTCATGATGTCATGCTTGAACCAAGAGCAATTGAGAGCGTTCATGGCTGGTGGTGCTCAGCAAGGTGTTTTTGGTGGTGACACTGACATTACAGGTTTAGGTGGTCTGCTTGGTGTTTCTGGTAATAATTTCTGTTTTGGTGGCGACTCAAATGGTTCTACAAACCAAGGGGCAGGTGGTATTGTGTTCAATGATTCTCATATAGACAACACTTTTGGTCATGAGATCCCATTGACACAACTCTTAATTGGAGGTATGGAACGCCATGATGGTAAAGGGCCACAATTTAGACACGATTCACCAGGGGATAAATCTCATGAAGGGGCCTACTATGCACAAGAAATTGAGTCAAATGCAGAAGCTCATCATACAAACAACCCTATTGTGCATTAGCCTCATCTTCAGAACCTTGAGACAGAGCCATATCGTGTCCAATGGCCTGAGGTGAACCATATCGATCAATCTGCACATACCACAACCCCCGCACAGCTAAGTCAAGTAGTGGACATCATTAGCACCCATACATTTCCCGAGGTCAGCCATACTTTGCACATATGTTTATGTGAAATTTTAGCTATGTAGCTTTAATGGTATTAGCAGTAACCTTATATCTGCACATATTATGAGGTTATGTCCTTCCTAATCAGAATCTGAAATCTAACATAATCATCAGAAATTAAAGTTCAGAACTGTAGATATGAACTGAATTTTATAACTGATAATTTCAGAACTGACCTGAAGATCAAAACTTATATATGAATTTGCATTGAACCACTGAGTCTACACCATATACTATGTTGTGACAACACTTGTGTGATCATTTTTAGGGATGGAGTGATTGTTGCTTGGCAATTGAGGGAAGCGACAAATCTCTACAAGTGGTTGCTAACAGAAAAGTCCTCATAGAAAGCAGCACTGAAGTTCTTGCCAATCATAACACATTGTTGCCCCCTGGTCATCGTCGAGTCACCATTACAGAAGATATTGTGCCAACTGCTCCTCTGCCATGCCCAAACGATGAATTGCTTTTTGTATGTCATGCTAAGAGATCTTATACATCTTGGCCTAATAATTTGATTTTCCCCAAAAAGGTAGTATTCTTCCTTGTTTTTAAGCTTCTGTCCGCTACTGTCTTTAAGCTTCTTCATATTTTTCTTTAAGCTACTGACTGTTGTGGCAACGGCAGCAGCCCTGCCTTGCAGCGGTAGTAGCCCTGCCTAGCAGCGGCAGCAGCTCTGCCTTACAGCGGCAGCAGCCCTGCCTAGCAGGGGCAACAGCCCTGCCTGCAGCGGCATCAGCTTGGTTTTTTGGTTCCTATGCCCTCTTAGTTTTTGGTATGTTGTTCCTTGCATTTTTGATGATAGTCTTGTTTTATTTTTCATGTGAAAACATATTATAAAGGCGAACAACCAATCAGATAAAGAAGTTGATGTGACCACACCATCCCCACAATCTACATCCTCCCACGCATCAACAACTCGTAAGTATGTTATTACCGACAAGGATCGTGAGAAGGTGACATCTACTTTGATGCATGTTATGAGAAAAAAAGCTATGGGAATGCAAAAGACCGGCGATACCATCTCTATCACTATTCCAGAGAGCATGTTTCTTAATGAAAATGGGTTAAATGTTTCACTTGATTACGAAGACTTGCTTGATTGGTGTTTCCAAAGGGAGGTTGGAGAATCGCAAATGAATATATTCATGAAGTAAGTTCACCTCCAATTTAGTTTCTAATTACAATGTGGAAAATTTTTGGTCCATTCTCTTATATATTTACAACTTTTGATGGGATAAGGATCTTGAAAGAACATTGTCACAAAGAAGGTATCTCGGGAATGTATGGGTTTTTTGACTCTAATGTTCTATCGCCTTTGACACCAACGACAAACGAGCGAGTTCGATCTAGCTATCTAGCTCGTGTTTTTGGGTGCAATGAGGGGAAGAACTATAATCAGCTATTCTTTGCTCCTTTTAATGACAAGTAAGTATAGTTCCTTTGTTATGTAATTATGTTACTTTGATTGTTATTCTTGTTCATTATTTATGATTCAATATATGTAATTTCAATTTTCTTAACCTAATTGCTTCTATATTGCTATGCTATGCTAATTTTACTAATAAATTCCTCTTAAAGCAAACAAAGTCAGGGCAACATTGCTATGTTAAACAATTTTTGCCCCCTTTTTCATTTGTTGTTTTTCTTATCCATTCTTCCTTCTAAAAGTTCCTTGCTGCTGGTTTATATGCATTGGACGTTAGCTGTTATTAGTCCGTGGAATGGGTTGGTGTATTGGCTAGATCCACTTGGAGCAGAAAATAAAAACAACTCATTCGCTGAAAAGATCATCACTGAGTATGTATAATTGCAATAACTTTGTCATTAACTTCTTATTTTGTTCTTACTGTGTATTTGGAAACTATTACAATTTTCCTATCTTCATGTAATTGTGTAGAGGAATCAAACAATTCAGCTCGGTCCATCGGTAGGACATCAAGAAAATAAAAAAGAATGCATATATTAGGTGGGAGCAACCACAAGTAAGTTATCTAAAGTTTTATAGCAGTTAATATTATGCAGTTTAATCCTAAAATCTAATATCTTGTTAATGATTAATTGTTTGCACTATCATAGTGTCCTCGTCAACCAGCATACACCAAGTATTGTGGATACTTTGTTTGTCGATATATGCTAGATATTGTGCATAAAAGAGTGCTATAGGTTTCCAAGCAGGTATATTACAAATATATGTCATTTAAATTGGTATAAACTATCCTCAGCTCTAACTAACTGTCTGTCTGTCTGAACTGTGAAACCAACTGTGAAACCAACTCTGAACTGTGAAACCAACTATGAATGTAACTCTGAACTGTGCAACCAACTGTCTGAATTGTGAATGTAACTCTATCTGTCTGTTGCTCTAACCAACTGTCTGAACTGTGTTCAAGTGTAACTCTACAGTCTGCATGCAGCTTAGTCATATTAACCACCAAAAATAATCAAATCAGCTTATGCAATTAGAATAGCTATAAGGTTCTGATTAAGGTTTTGTATATTCTGATTTGTATATTCTAATAACTATAACATCATCAGCTTATGCAATCTATAATAGCTATAAGGTTTTGTATATTATGATTTGTAGTTCTGATTGTAATTCTAATTGTCAGGTCTACTTTTCATTTTTGAATCGGTCTTTGAAATTAAGTTAGGAATGAAATTTGAAATTGGAGTTCTGATCCCCCCTTTGAAATTTCATTATAGTTGTGATTTTAAGTTCTGAAATTCATTTCTTTTCAGTGCTTTGTTATGTTTGAAATACACCAAGTCTTGAAATTAAGTGAGCTAAGGGTGTGGATTGAGGATGTTCGTCAAAATGCTCTTTTGCTTTTTTATGTTTGATTTTCAGCTTTTGGTTAAATATCTATATGATTTCCGTCAAAAATAAGTAAATAAATAATACTCTTATTTGATGGCATATGTTGTATGTTGCTTCTGTTTGTATCTCACCTGTCCTGAACCTATTATGCCAATCTATAATGTTGAACTTGCTGCTGTGGCAGCTCTAAATGCTGATGAAGAATCGAGGAGTGATCGGTTGGGGTCTGTTCGTAGTAGTATAGCTTCTGTTGTCATAAAGTCTGTTTTAATTGCTTTTCGAAGGGGCACTGTGTTTGTTAATATTAGGGCCATTAGTTTTCAGCTTAGTGGATGGTTCTATGTTAATAGCTATTTCCCTTCCTCTAACTTTTATTTATGGAATGAGGTGGGCTGCTTTAGTTGTAAAACTCTAATTAATTAATATATGTCGTCTAGTTTGTGTTAAAAAAAAATGTTGTATTTTGCAGGTCTTTCCCCCAATTTGTACATATTCTTCGGAAGACATTGATGAAATGTGAGATTTGTGGATTAAATATGTTCTTAATCATGAGCCAGATGACGAAGATTCATGATGGATGAGCTTGATAGATGATGAATCAGCAAAGCTTGAATACGAGATAAGCTTAGTGTTAATCATTATACTTGTGAATCTAGCTCTACTTTTGACTCTTTTTTTGGAGGAAAAGCTCTACACTTGAGTTTTGTTTTTGAATATTAGAATTAATGTAAATTTTGGGTTTTATTTCTATTGTAGAGAATTAGTTTTTGTATTAAATATTTTTATTTATATATATATATTATTTGGAAAATTTATGTTTCTATATATATGTACTGTATTAGTGGCAGGTTCAACAATGTAACATATTGGCGCCAAAATTTATTGGATGAATATGAATTGTAAAAGGAATATGGCAATTTATTTATTTATTTAAAAAAAAACGACCTTAGAGAGACGACCTATTTAAAATAGATGGTCTCATTATTCAAAAAACAATGACCACTCATTTAAAATAGGTGGTCTTAGTATTTAAATCTAGAGAACGCCTATTTAAAACATGTGGTCTCTTATCCTTCTATATTATTTATTATTAAACTAAAGAAAGAGACCATTTATTTTAGCAAGGTGGTCTCAGGTATTGTAAAGTTAGACCACCTTTTATGAAATGGTCTCTTAGGCCAAAGACACATGTGAGCTAGAGACCACACCTAAGGTAGTCTCTTAGGCTATTTTGGTATGGTTTCTTCGGCCAATTTTGTAGTAGTGGGAATTGATTAATTAATTACTTTAAAGGTGATCAAACAAAACTAATTAATTAATTAAAGTCCTTTTAAACAAGAAAATGAAGGTAATTTAACTAAGTGCTCGGGAATTTACCACTTCTCTTTGCTAGATCTCCGTTTGCAACACTTATGGACTCCTTATTGTTGGGGAACCTCCACCTTAGTAACAAAATATCGAAAGGGTGGGTGTTTAGGACAAGAGGGCTAGGTTGCACAAGCTCATATTTATAGGGAATGACAAGGTTTAGGGTTTCCATCATTCTGCCGCAGCAGGTGTTGTGCGCAACAAATGAAGTTGCGCGCGGCTTTATGGTAAGATTCGATTTTATATTTTCCGTACAATTCCAAATAATTCTGAATCTTCCGCAGTACAACTTTGAAAGTTATGTTGGGTGTCGCGCGCAACTGATAAAGTTGCGCGCGGCAGCCCAACACGACTTTTTGAGATGTCTGCTGCAGCACTAAGTTTTAACCTAGGCGCTCCTAAATTCGTCATTATTAGGGTTTAAGCACGGGCTTAAGCCTAATTAAGATCGAGTTTACTTAATTGGACCTTTATTTTGGCTTTTCTTTAACTTGGGCTAATCTTTTGTGTTTTGTGGATTAACCTGTTATCCATAAGTATTCTTCACTTCGATCCAACACGAAGATGGCTTTATTTATCGTCATTGCACTTCTTTTCAGGACAGGAGGCCAAAAGTAGATGTCTACATTTAGCCCCCACTTTGATCGAGTCTAGAATAGACGATGATCAAAGTAGTCAAGGAAATAAATTTGAGACTCATTCTGCGAAGTTCTCTAAGGATAGAGAATCTTTCAGTAATGTTTAAGGATGTTGAAACAATCCTTGGTTCGTTAAGTGTTTGAAACAAGTAGTTATTAAGGCTAGAAAAAGTCCTTCCTAGTCTTAACGCGCTAAAGAATCTAGATTGATCCTTTGCAATTGTAGAACGCTCTTACAAGTAAAAGTATTTTGGGTGATGTCATGTCATGAGAAGAGATCGATTTTAAAAGGATAAAAGGGGAGGATTTCCTCTCAATCGTGTCATCGTTGGTCTAAAGTCACTCGATTTATCATCGAAACTTTAGCCTAACTTTAACAAAGTAAAAGATGAAAAAGGGGTTTTTGGTATTCGAGCCGAAAAGGTTCGGTATTCGAGCCGGGTCTGGTATTTGAGCCGAAAGTCCACAAGATAGAAATACATGTCTCAGAACTGGAGGCATATGTCCAAATTCAGTAAGAGGGAAGAAGGTCAGCAACTCTCTCATCAATTTTGTCCACAAGATGAGTACACGTGTCTCAGGACTGGGGGCATGTGACTACATGGGCGCGACATCGTCTCGTCGCTTCTTTACACAGGGGTGGATTCGACACCCTAACTGTCCCGTAAGTTAGTAAGCGCACTAACTATCGTATCCATTTAAGAAGTGCCTGTTCCTGAAGGTTCGCCTCGCTTGTCGACTCGTTGAGCTAACGCCTACAGTAATTATCTACCTTTTAGTCCCAAGAGGTAGATCTCGCAAAGCTTGGGCTGAGTGAAATTTTACGCAACACCTACGCCGTACAATACGCCATTTGCAATTTTACGCTGCATGAAAATGCCTTCCTTTTTGCTTCGGACGTGAAAAAAGAAGAAAACCCGGACATTTGTAACGTCAATATAGTAAAATGACAAACTTTTCTATGGGTGCTTTTACGTAAAGCACCACCACAGAACGTCTTAAGGCACTCTTACGAAAAACGTTCAAAACATATGCTTGGAGAAGGCACAAAGCACGGTGTGCATGCAATATGATGCAAAAAAATAACAAAAAAGAAAATAAACTACAATATGCAAAGCAATTAAGAAGATTTTGATAATTTGCGCGCCATTACGTCTAATAACGAGCAAAACCCGTTCAAAAAAATGATCAAAATCAAAATCCCGGTCTTTTAGTGACCAGTATCCGTGGCAACTCAGAAGGTCGCGCTGGCCAGGCGCGTGCATCTTTCTGAGTTGCGCTGGTATGTCACGCGCAACATCTTAAGTTGCGTGCGACATTTATGTTAGTAAAGTGAAAAATCGCAAACGCGATTTTCACTTCACTCTTTTCTTCTTCCTTCGCCATTTTCGACTCTTTCTCTCTCTAGAAGGCTCGATTTTTTGCAATTTTTGAAGCTAAAGGAAGCTAATTTCGTCCTCAATTCATATTTTCCGTAATCTAATGTTAGATTTTTGCTAAAATTTACTCTTTTTCGGCTGAATTCGAATGATTTTCAAATCGTTAAACCCCATATTCCGAATTCGGGGGTTTTCGAATCGACTTATTTTTCTTGAAATTGTTTGCTCTATGTTGTTATGCTATGTTTAAGGAGTGTTTTGCAACAAATTTCATGAGAAATGGTTAAGTATTGAACCTTGTATGACCATTTCTTTGTTTAAGTTCGTTCTTTGCAATTCTACTCGAATTTGGCTTGATTTTCTGTTATTTTGTTTGCACATTTTGGTTATACTTGTTAACTATGAAACAATTGTAGTATTGGAACTAGATTTTATTCCATAATTAACATTTTGAAAATTTTGAATCCGAAAAAATTGGCGCGAAGTGTATACTTAGCCTATTTTTACCATATTCGAACTCCAAAATTGTTTGGTAGACGATAATTATGTTTATATTATTGTTATTCGTCTAGAATTAGTTGACTCTTTGAGATTTTGGAATATAATCCCTTGAATGCTTAGTTGAAACTGGTATAGGATGGCTTGTGTGGGTGTTAAAAGCCCCCATTTACTGAGTTTAATTGCAGGTATCGTAGCCCCCAAGTATGGGTGGCGTTCGATTTTCGTGTTTTTCCTTATCGGCAGCCGTTATGCTGCCGAATTGGGTCTAGAATACATATATTAGTTTAGTTTAGGAAATAAAATAAACTAATTAATGAAATTTTATCCGTCCTAGCATGGACTCGCCTCCATTTGTCGATGCCGAGGAGGTTCTAATTGGTCCGGACGAGGCGGTTCGCCCTCGGAAGAAGGTGACAGTAGGGAATATTTCAAGCATTAACCCC